ACTAAGCATCGACACTACAGAGCTCTATTGTCACGGTGAGGGAGCGCAGCCGCCTCGCGAAGAAAACCGCTGACAAGCTGTAAAAAAAATAAATATATGATGGTATGATTCATTATTTTTTTATCTGTCATCAGAAGGCATACACATCTAATTATGACAATTATTTTGCATAGGATTTGTATGGAGAAACGAACACTTTGATAAATAACTTGGAGGTCGGGTATCATGCATTTGATGATATATTCGAGATCAATGAGCCTGACACAAACGTATCGACACATTACAAATCTAGCATTTGTAATCCTTGGTGGACTCCAAAACAACAGAAGCAAGAATAGAGGGGATCAACGGATTTTCTTTGTAAACATGTTAACTAAATCAATAAGACAATCACTCGGACGGCACTCTTGATGAGATATAATTGATCACGATGATTTAATCCCCCTGGTGTTGACATCCAAATATGCGGGAAATATAATAAAATCATGTAATCTGGCAGAGATATTGTTTTTTGTCACTAAAGGGAGGAAATTGCAAAATAGGTTTCATCACCTTTTGCCTTTGTAAGCAATTCATGTGCCTCGTCGATACAACAAACTATAGGGATTTCCATATTAATATCGGGAAATAATTTCTTTAGAAAATTTTCGTTGCCATAATCTGATGAAATATTTCTTTGTTGTAATAATGATTCAAAGACACTTTGCCAGAATTCATTACACTCGGTTTTGTGATCATTGATTTGAATATTCCAAAACTTCTCTGCGCTCCAGTTTTTACTTTTAATTTATTTGATCGCTATAAATAAAAGAGCTCTGAATTTATGGTCTCGAATTGTTTCCAGAATTTTTTGAACGTAAGGTGTTGATGCAGGATACCCAGAACTACTCTCATGTCGTTTACAAATGTACAGGATATAGGTCCCCTTTGTTCTTAGCTCCCCAACAAGTCGTGTTTTACCAGAACCAGAGCTTTATACGATTGTTAGGTAAAGGGCATATGGTTTTATCTGCCGATACCATTTATTGTGAAATTGTTTTAGTCGCGAATAGAAAGTTTCCAAGGTTGTGCCTTGGTATTCGACTTGAAATGCTCCTTCAATATGATTTGGTTCAATATTACTCACGCCTGTAAAATTATAAGATGCACAGTATAATAAGTGGGGCGGGTTAATAAGAAAGAATTATTGTTTAGTAATGCAAAACGCCAAGAGCCTTAACCATGCACTCTTACTTTCTTCCTCTCCGTACAAGCTCTCATCATCTAACGATGATAAACAAATAAAAATGTCAGAAATAAGCATGTATACTTTGAAAGATTCAGATGCAATCATTTTACACATACTATTTTCTCTGATTATAATAATCAATAATGCCTCATCTTCTGTATTGTATAAATCAGTAATAGATGTACTGGTTTTCAAGATATCCTTTCCTTTGCAAAGGCGGATCAATTCTTCTGAAGAGATTGCAATTTATCTTTGATCAACCTTTTGAGATCATCTAAGTTATGTATGTTTTTCTTCTCCAGTTCTTCTTGTCCAAAGGAGACAGCATCATTATTTCTATAACGAACCCATATTTTCTTATCTTTTTGGGCAATATTGCAGTTAGATGGAATGTGAGTAAGGAGTATTCAGACATTTCGTAATAAATGTATGGGACTGCAATTAATGTGCAACATTAATAACAAGATGATATTTAAAGCTATACTAACAGTGAGGGTGCGGAGTTTGAAGGTATATGTTGTAATTATAGTAGAAATTACCTTAAAAGCTAAAAATCTCTCAATTTCTCCATCTTCAAGTTCTAGTTCATTTTGACTTGCTTTTAGAAATTTACCTCATCTGCACCTGGACTACTTGTAATGTTAGAACGGAATTTGCATTTGAAGTGGACATTGTGTTACTGAATAATATTCGCGAAGAGCTTGAGAAAAAAATATATTAGTAGCGACTCTTCGATAACACGGCTTTCTGTCACTTGTTATGTTAACACGCGAAGGGAGGCAGGCGTTTTATTGTGAATAGATTGTACGATAATAAACGTAAAAGTAGGAGTTGGTGTTGCCATAATTTGTACCTATTGCTATTGGCTATTGGCACAAAAAGTGTGACAGTCGACACAAGGTAAACCGATGCAGCAATTTTTCTTCGGATTGGCGGGTTGCTCTATAAACCGAAGTGTATATTCAGGTCTTTATTTTTGGCAAAAAAACTTCTTGAATAATTTCTTTGGTCTATCATCTCTTTCCGTTGAATCACGAGCTGACGCTTGTTGTGTAATAGAAAGCGGAATATCAATATGAAATTTCGATTGGGCTTAGAAAATTACACTGTAGACAGATTTGTTAACAAAGTTTACTAAAACAGATTTATTATCTATTACTATAGACAGCGTCAACTGTAAAGCTCTTATCTATAGTACTGTTTTCATATACGTATAAGCACTTAGATACAGATCACGAAGCCCACAATATATTACCCCTTTATCGTATTTCTCTATCGTATATTCTCTAAGGCCTATTGCAGCAACTAGGATATTCGCCTGCTAACTGATAGAAGTTTTAATTGAGTGAAAACTACCCTTTCGGGCTTCTTTAGATCGTATCTTAAGCAGCTGCATAAATTCACAGCAGTAAGTGTTGTAATTATGCAGTCGTTGATCGTTGAGCGTTGTCCATAGAAAGGGGGAAAGGATTAGTAGAGAGATAAAGTATCAACATTCTCTATAACTGACATGAGTTATCGCTCTAGGACGATGATTACTAGTCAATGAGAGACGTAGGCTGGTTAAGGATCGGGTCTATATCTTGCAGTTCCGAGTAAGGGATCCATTTGAGACAATTTTCAGAGGATGTAATCAAATGTTTAATTGGAGTCTGATTCCAAAGATGAAGACATAACTCGGACTTATTTTGTTCGCTGTGTAACTATCGCGAGGCACACATAACATGTATGTGGAAAAGCAGGTTTAGTGTAACATCAGGTGTGCTATTTATTGGTTGGTAACTTCGGCAGTCATTGCAACAAATATGGCTTCAAGTCAGTTCGATAAGGAATGGTTAAGAAAAAATATTGAAGATGGAAGCATTCGGTTTTATTATTTCGATGAATTTGTTGATGTCGTATACATCGGCGGCGGAGGATATGGGGCGGTTTTCAAAGCCGAAATGAAGTCACTTGGTAGAACGATAGCATACAAGATTTTGCATTCACAAAATGAAGATGAGATGATCGAAAACTTTGTCAAGGAGGTTGGTAATATCATGATGACTTTATATTGCATTTATTGCTTTACTTAAACCACCACCCAAATGGTACTTTTAGCTTAAGATTCATCGCAAAGTTGATGATCATCCCAACATAATTAGATTCCTTGGAGTTAGTAAACGTAAGCATTGAGGCGTCGTTACGGGCTCCACTTATTATTATATGACATTAACGGAGACTTAATGGCTAGATACGGTTAATAGATACGTAATGGTCTTCAAGTACGCCGACGGTGGTTCATTACGATCTTCCTTGTCGGACCCATCGATTGAATTGGACTGGCCTATGAGATGCAAACTTGGTATCAATATCGCTAATGGCCTGAGGTATCTTCACAAGCGCCGTATTATACATAAAAATTTGGTAATTATAGGTGTACAGAAACAATATTATATGTTCAGAACGTTTTATAATCGACAATTGTATTATTATTTAGTCTTCACGTAATATACTGATTCATGCCGGCGTGGCGAAGATAACAGACTTTGGTTTGTCTGACCCGATCCTACAACAAAAAAGCCATTCAAATGTTAAAGGAACCCTTCCATATCTCGACCCCAGATGTTTATTCGACCCTTCTACTAAGCGCGATGAAAAGTCGGATATATTTAGCTTTGGAGTGGTATTATGGGAAATATCTGGCGGAGAGAGACCATGTAATGGACTCCATTATCCTGATGACATTGAAAGTTATAGACTAAATGGTGGTCGAGATGCTCCAATTTTAGGAACCCCTGAAGCATATATCACAATATATTCGGAATGTTGGGACGATGCTCCTGAAAAAAGACCATCTTGTGGGCAGATTTTTGATAGATTAGGTCAACTAGTGCTAGCAACAGTTTCAAATCATCCATTTTCGGACGAGTTGTCAAATAAATACCAGGAAGAATTATTAAAAGGAAAAAGTCGAGACCAGATTGCAAGCTCAATTAAAGACTGGTTGATACATAATGGATGGCATCAACAGAATCATCCTCCAGTTAAGAGACTCAAAGACCATGTTGATTGTGGACAATGCTTCAGGCTACTTGGCTTTTTTTATGAATATGGAATAACAGTTGGAAAGAATCTTAATCAAGCAATCTACTGGTATGAATTGTCAACAGAAAAAAATGAAGCTTTTGCACAAAGTAGTCTTGGCTATTGCTATCTAAATGGAATTGGAGTAGAGAAAGATGCTAAGAAGGCAGTTGAATTATATCAAAAGGCAGTTGAACAAGGAAATGCTAAAGCACAACGTAATTTTGGTTATTGCTATCAAAATGGAATTGGAGTAGAGAAAGATGCTAAGAAGGCAGTTGAATTATACCAACAAGCAACTGAACAAGGAAATGCTAATGCACAATGTAGTCTTGGTTTTTGTTATCAAAATGGAATTGGAGTAGAGAAAGATGCTAAGAAGACAGTTGAATTATATGAGAAGGCAGTTGAACAAGGGAATGCCTTTGCACAACTTAATCTTGGTTATTGCTATCTAAATGGAATTGGAGTAGAGAAAGATGTTAGGAAGGCAGTTGAATTATATCAAATGGCAGTTGAACAAGAAAATGCTAATGCACAATTTAATCTTGGTTATTGCTATCAAAATGGAATTGGAGTAGAGAAAGATGTTAAGAAGACAGTTGAATTATATGAGAAGGCAGTTGAACAAGGAAATGCTAATGCACAATTTAATCTTGGTTATTGCTATCAAAATGGAATTGGAGTAGAGAAAGATGCTAAGAAGGCAATTGAATTATACCAACAAGCAGCTGAACAAGGAAATGTTACTGCACTAAATAATCTTGCTAATTGTTATGAAAATGGAATTAGAGTAGAGAAAGATGCTAAGAAGGCAGTTGAACTATATCAAAAGGCAGCTAAACAATAAAATGCTTTTTGTACAAATTAGTCTTGATTATTATTATTGCTGTGAATGGGGTATTGGAGTAGAAGAAGACTGTTAAATTATATCAAAAGGCAGTTGAACAAGGATGAAGGCTATTATATTAAGAAGCAAGTATTAGTATAGGAAAAATGAAAAATCAGTTTATATTTACACAGTAGTGTCAGCGGTTTTCTTCG